GAAGATGGACCATGTGAAGATCGCCGGAGTAAGGCAAATATTAGCTAAGGCAAGGCGTAATAATTGAAGGCGTCCGAACTGAAGAGCGTGGCGACAACGTTTTTCGCAAGGAGCCGCGCGAGAAGCGAAGGTGCCGGGTGTAAATACGTCCAACAGAGCGGGGAATCTCCCAGAAAGCAAATGTTCAGCGGTCGTAAAAAATGTCTATACATATAACTATTTACGAGACTGGGGTTGAAGGAGGAAAGGAACAGGGGTCAATTAACATGCAGATGCAGATGTTGGATGAATATGAGTGGGAAGGCCGCCCGCATTTGTGTCGGCCGTGCTCGGTTGGCGAAAATTCACATTGCGCCGATAAATACGACGGACCGACTTTAAGCTAGTGGTTCATCCTACCAGACTCTCGAAGATCATTAATGCACCTATTATAGAGGAGATAATTGTACGTACGTAAAACGCAAAGCGCTAGTTGGAAACTTCATATAATAGGAAGGCGTACTTCTGAAGCCCTGGCGACGCTAGAGACCCAGCGACCAGAGGCTTTTTTCCGAAAAAAACTGCGATCCGTCGCGAGTGCAATTGAAGAGCGCAGTGTCAAAAACGAAAAATAAATACAGTTGATTTTGGGCGGTGTAGAAAGAAATACTTTAATACTCATGGCATGAATGTTTAATACAGATTCCTTCCTGTGGTGCCTCGCTGATCAGTATAGGCTAATACACACGCCGGTTGAAGTAGTAGGGGTTTCCATACTCAGCATGCAAGGCGATTCCCCACCACGTCAATCTCACTTAACACATAAGTGCTACAGTGCCGTCGTGTAAATTTCATTTATTATTCGCCTGAGTCCTTTTGTTTAGACATAGTTTCCGGTCTGCTTATGATTCAGCGCCATCCTTCATGTCGGCAATTGTGGGCCAAAGCGGACAGGATCCAACAGCGGATGCACGCGATTAAGATAACTTAAACGTCACGGTAATCATCGTCAGCGCAGTCAGGCGAAAGTCGTCGTCGGACGACAACCTCAACTGATATCCTAGGCGATTCAGGATTAGGCGTATTTATCCTTTCCCTCCACGTTCAAGCTGCCAGGCCTCAGGTTCAGCCGACAAAGCGTGCCGCCCACTGTGATACAGTATAACCATTTTAGTAATAACTCCCTAAGCTGGTCGGAACTGGGTGCGGTATATTCATCCAGTGCAGGAACTGCTGTAACGAGCATCTCTGTGGGAAACACGCTGAGCACGTAAGCCGTCTGGTCCGTATCGTCTGCGCTTCGTACACAGAAAGGAAGTACCGATGCAAAAAGCACACAGGATTTTAGTTATTAATATTTGTGAAACACCTGTTTTGACAAGGTTAGCAAGGGAAAAGCAAGTGACTTTCGGTTTGGTTTCGATCAAGAAACCGTCTTCCGCAGACGCGAACGCAGCGGACAAAGCGCGTTCGCGTTTTTGCCTGGCTCGGCGGATCGGACGTATTTTAAATAGTTCAGCCGAGCGAGACCGGTGATGGGACAAGACACGCGAAGACAGCAGGAAAAAAACAACCCTTGCCTCCACTAACAAGAAAGGAGCAACGGCACCGGCACGCACGACGGAGAAGACACGGCACGCACGCGCGCCTGACGCACCGTGAGAGAGGAGAAAAAAACCGCCGATCAATGGGCGACACAAACACAACATGATCGCAGATCACAAAGGTCTAACTAGGAAGACACAAACGAACAAGCGCCCGCCGGGGCAGCAGGGACGAGAAGCGCAGTAAGAGAAGACCGCCCTCACTAGCACCAATAAGGCATCAAGAAATAATGGTACCCGCCTCGCATACAGCACACGACGCGTACCAGCTTAATTATATTTAAACAAAGTAATTAAAGCGGATCGGGACAGACGAGACGGAACGATGAGCGTAATAGAAGTAAACCTTTCCCGCAGCTGCCGTCCAAATTCAAAGCTGGATCTAGAGATAAGGGCTTTACTGCGTAGAGCTCAGCACACCGTATACGCCCGACCTGCATCTGTGCATGGTCGTCAATAGGCAGAGGAGCCTGCTCTCGTCATGTAGCCTGCTGTGTTTATCCTGTTGTGGTTGGCTAATGTGGGTGAATTCGGCGTGGCGACTAAATCACGACTGAAAATCATGAGTCTGTTTTATGGACATATTACGATTTATTAGCATTATTTCGCCTCAAAGATCTCCCAATCCTTTGGCCATGCGGCGAATCTACCATGACTCATATTCATGCAGACTTGCGGCGCTCGTGCCAGAAATTATAAAAAGTCGAGGCGTAATCCAGCCACGACGAAAACGATCACTGTTGCACGCCCTAGCGTGGGCAGCCAGAACACACTATAGCGGGGAGGACCGTAGAATTAAAACAGAATAAAGTTTTGGCATTAGCGACGGCACGGGTGCGCATCACATGAGACACAGAAAAAGTACAGTGAGGACAGAACTACAACATTGCGCACAATTGCTCTACGAGTCCTTAGGCAGCCGTTTTTTCAATCCTTATACTCCGTTTCGTTAATCTTTTGTTATTTCGAAAAAGAAGCGAAGTCGCTGGCAGTTTGGATTTCGCTCGTTAACTAAGCCACGCGGCTGCGTAGACAGGTCGAATAATTGTAAAAAATCCAAATACAGAAGAATTAAATTAAAACATGGAATCCGGGGGATGGGTGAGTCCGATCTCCATGGCACACAGGACTCGTCGGCACGATGGCTTCGCAGACTTAATTTGAGACTTGTTGGAAAAAAAGAAACTTAAGTGATACGGGCGAATATATCAAATCCTTTCTCTACAAAGGCTAAGA